ATCCAACTTCAGCATGTTGGCGTGTTGTGCATTAGGTATTGAGTTTATCGAAAAAAAATTTTGCACAGCAAGAAAATTCAGGCCTTTAGCTGTCCAATGATACCTTTTTTGTATCATAAGAAAAAATGGCCAAATACGAACGAATAAAAATTGCCGGTGGAAATTGCATTTTTCCACCGTTGGGAATTTGTTGAAAATTTATTGAAAGTAAATTCATTTGGATCTAAACTTCATGAATTTTAATTTAATAAACCCTAACATTTGGTCACTTCTGCATTAAGCTTATTGTTTTATGATACATTATAGAGATTAATTGTTTTTTTCTTTTCTTCTGGACTGCTTTAATAATGCACATATGACATATAGGTGGAAAATGTGATTTCAACCGGCAATTTTCTTAAAATGATACAAGAAAGGTGTCATTTGGAACCTAAAACCGTAATCTTTATTAAGATGAGAAATTAAATATGAGCACCTGGATTACCTTTTTATACACACTGTATTGATCCGCCCTGGCTAAACAAAAGTTGTTATATTTCTCTGTTTTAGAATGAATGCTGACGAGAGCATATCACAACTCGGCAATGTCAATGAACTGCGGCAAGCCATAGAGTCGATTAAATCTGCCTTAAGCCTTATAAGCACCCAGAAAAATCTATTCCAAGAGAACGTCCTGGTTGCGAAGAATCAAATCCAAGATGATGTCAGCTTCCATTTGGAGTTGCTTCGCAACCGAGAAGTTTGGCTCCTTGAACAAGTGGATGTCCATTCCCAACTGAAAGAGGAAACCTTCGAGAGCCACTTTAACGAGCTTTGTGTTCTCCTTGCGAAGCTAGAAGTCTACGAGCAGCTCTTAGAATTACAAGAATTACAAGGTAGCCAAGTTATCGCAAGGCAAGCTATGGAAATTATTTCAAAGCTGAGTAAGGAGGTCTCGCATTTTGAAGAAGCATCCGGAATTGTTTTTTCTGCGGATAATTTCGCTTTATCTGATGCGGTGAAGAATTATGGTAATATAGTCGAGGGAGAGCCTGGTGAATCCGCTCTGAAAACAGCACGAGTGTACAAAAAGAAGTCAGCATCGACAGATAGAAGTCAGGAGTCTATAGCCCTCATTCAAGAGCATTTTAAGCGGGTTGCCATGTCGCCTCGAAAGGATTGGTTGGTTGGTGGCTTGGAGGTGAAGGAATCGAGGAAAGATTTTGGAATTGTTTGGAAATATTTTGAAGAGTTGAAGAGCTCTGATAGTGAAGAATGGTTGTACAAGAAATCTCAGGTTGGTATTGAATGAGGGCATGATATGAAGAATTATCCAGTTTGTTGTATTAACCGTGTTGTCGATGCCTGTCAGAGGCCTATACAGTGTGTAGAAAAAAAGGTAATCCAGATTTGGCGTGCAATGGCCTAGAAAATGTTTGAAGATTTTTACACTGTTGAAAAGTTCAATCGTTTAGCTTTTAAATTGTATGTTTTATGTGTCATGTGGTTAGGAAAATGAAGGAGCATTGCTTCGGAAAAACAAATCGCATGTTTCCACATGGGAATTGATGTTGGATCTGAAGATAATGCATATTTAATCAACAAACTATTTTGTATCTTATAATATTTGTGGTGTTACTCTGAGTGTATACCAACCCAGAAAAAAATTATTTTGTATCTTTTTCAAAACTTACATATTTACATATTTAATGCGTCGAGGTTGCATTTTAATAATCATTCATGATTAATTTAAGTTTTTCAATGCCTCGTGGTCCCATCGGTAAAATTTTTTGCCGAAGCAATACGACAACAGTTTATTATATGGCAAGCATCACTTTCAGTGAAATGGCGGACTGTGATTGGCTGAGAAGCACTTTCAGCGGTCCATTATTTTCCCGCAATGGACCGGCGGCCCATTATTTTCCCGTAATGGACCCGCGGTCCATTACGGGAAAACGCATGCATTTTAAAACTAAAGGAATATAATTAAAGGAATACATTGGTATTTTTTTGTTTTCTTCGATCAAATGTGTATACCACGCTACTAATATGCATTTCAAACCATCCATTTCTTGTTTGTTTCAAGTATAAATGCCATATAATACACTTTTTATGAACCTCGCATAGAAATATCGGACCTCGATCTTTTTGTACATACCTCGCCCTTTACGGGCTCGGTCTGTACAAAATAGACCTCGGTCCGACATTTCTCTATAAAGACCTCGCGCTCGGTTAATAAGAAGTTAGTAAAAGTCAATGGCATTCGTCAAATCCTTTTTAAGGTGGCTCCCTAGGGTTTTTTAATTTACTACACTATAGTATTCAGGAGACTCCTGTTTCTTTACTTTACATGACATGAAAACGAAATTTATTGGACACATTGACAATGTTCTCCTGAACATTGCAAATTGCTACTTTTGTGTTAAAAATATGTTGTCATGGCAACAGCATGCTTAGAATAAAGCTCAAAATTTGTCTTTTCATGTCATTTTAAAAAGTTCCTTCGGTGAAATTTTTTAAAACTTTGCATAAAAGATAATACTTATATAATGATTTTTTCCCCTCAATTTAAAAAAATTAAATCGATACGTTTCTTAGAAAATTTAAAAAACGTCGAAAATCAATATTAAAAATTTTCCCTTCGATTTAATTTTAAGAAAAAAGGATATTGCACTTGTTGTACCGATATTAAAAAATGTGCAAAAGTTTTAAAAAATTTTACCGAAGGAAAACGGAGAAATTTGGGTTTAATTTTGGCAATTTTTACTAGATTTTTACGCGAACAATTTAATACCCCAACTGACGTGTACATGCATTCTGTATAAAACAACAAGGCATGACTTTTTTGAAATCACAAAATATAAATTATGTTCGATATACTGTTTATAACTGTGTCGGTTAATGGTCAACTAAGCGTGGATTATACATGTAAAAATGGCAAAGATATTTAGGTAATTACTGGTTATGACTTCTTGGTATTAATTTGAAAAATGTTTGTCAAAATTCGCGAGTTAGTACTATCATCGGATGTTTTCGCAAAATGCCCGTTCAAATTTCAGTTTTTATAGCGATATGTTTGGAGCTTCGGCCCTGCTCATTTCTCCCGTAAAGGGCTCATTATTTAAGTCATCTTTATTGTCATAAGTGCTGCTAGATTGTGGAGAAAACACTGCAAATTCTTGAGGAAACTTTATATCATATCCCAATGTTCGAGATCGAACCTCGCGTACGCCGGTTCAAAAAACATCCAGAATACCTCTTGAAAAAAACAAGTTTACATTATCTTCTTTTGAAACATCACATCCAAGTATCGTTTTGGCTTTTAGAACTCTTTTATGCTTTCAATTAAAGCAAAGTTCACACTTTTGTTTCAAAAAAGAGTTCCATATGAAACACAATGTTCGTTCGTATTTTGAAGTCACACGAATTTTAGTTTAGTTAGAATTTTTGGATTATAAGAAAGTGGGAAGCCAATCAAATAGTCTGAGCAACTAGATTTGGTGCTTCCGTCTTTCTTCTAGTCCAATCAGAGGCTTTGTTTACAAATCGTTTGTGAATTTCAACTTGCAATTTGTTCGCGTCGGTTGCAAATTGCTCAGAGCAATCTGCCTATCAAAATTGCAATATTGTGGGACAATATTGCAATGTTGCTCGCAAGCAAATATCCGGTTTGAGTCGTTTGACTGTAAACGATTATTTTTCCTACTACAAAAGCGATTCAAGTGTATGATACATAACTAACGATCGAACGAACCAGTATTTAATTTAATTACAGTTACTTATGAACATTTATGACCATCGTATCACGACAATAATATGGTGCTGATTCCTTTTGTACTTTGAATTTTCCACAAGCTTCTCTGGGGAAAGGTTATTCAGCTTTTTACTTGACAAATCCTCGAGTTTTAATTCACTTGACTAAAAGTAACACCAACACGGATGTTATTTTGTATTTTTTTTTATACAGCCTATTGATGTGGAAACAGTCTCAAATCGCTTCAAAGAGCATTTCCAACAAGTTCAATCCTCCCCCGCTACCGAATGGCTACAACCTGGGGTAGCCATTGATGATGGCGATAATTCCTCTGGTTTTCCTGGTTACACCACATTGGATACCTCGGAAAATATTAAAGCTTGGCTAATGAGGCCTTTAGAAAACCTGTCCTTGTCTTCAAAAGGCGAAGATTTGATCGACGAAGGAATTTCGCTGTTTCGACACTGCAGCGTTGAAACCAGTGAAGAAGGTGTCGATGGTAAAAATGGCTGGCTCCTGGACGAAAAACTAAGGGACGGTTCAAGTCAAGATTCGCAAGGATATCCCATAAGCGGGTCGTCTACGTCACATCCACCACAGGTCACCGAAATCGGAAGCTGGTTGCATCGTTTCCGAGAATCGACTGGAACGAGCACTAGTGATTGGTTAATTGAATCCGAAAGCAAGGTTGAGCCTGAATATTGTGATTGGTTGACGCAAGAGTCGATAGACCAGTGTACGAGTTGCTCAAAAGAGTGTCCCAAGGATACTTTCAGTGTGTTTAGAAATGTTTTGAATAGCTCCAGGAGTGAATGGTTGACCACTGTTAGTGATTGGTGAACACTTTGAATTGAAACTTTGACACTATTTCACTTTTATAATTTGTGAATATTTTGAACGAATTGTCTATGTAGTGACCTTTGTTTTCCAAAGGATTTTAACACAATTTACTTTTAATCGATGATTTTAATTATAGTAGATGGGGAATTTGGGGCAAACATGATGTCTGGAATACACAAATAAAGGGAAAAGACACAGAATAACTGTCACTTGACTAGAATCACCATTTTGTGTTTAGTTTAGTGAAACAATGAGTGATGTATGTACTATTTAAAACACGAGTAGGAGTGCTTTATCCGATAAAAAGCACGTGAGTGCAGCTCGAGTGTTTTATATCTGATAAAGCGCAGACTGCAAGTGTTTCAAATCACTTTTCATGTTCATTTACATAAACTATAGCGTTGATTTTCTCGGGTTAGACAACGTTGATTTAGAAAATGTACTCATCAGATGGGTCGTTTTTAAAAAAAAAACGACCCATCTGATGAGTACATTTTCTAAATCAACGTTGTCTAAACAGAGAAAATCAACGCTATAGTTTATGTAAATGAACATGATTTTTTACCACATATAAAACCATCGATACGGCAGTGATTTCTTTTGTATTTTCCTCATAAATTATTAAGGATACAGGACACCCTTTTTGGCGTTTTGCGGAAAACCGCTACTGCGCGCTCAATATCAGTCCGATTTTCATCAAATTTTCACCAAATGTTCTCCAGTGCATGCAAAATATGGTAAAGTTGTATAATTAACAAACAATCAAATAATGTAAGAGTTATTCAGGAAACTTGCTTAAATCGCGGTACCGTTACGCTTTTGAGTTGTGCTCCTGCTGGTTTTAAGTTATATTTATGAAAATATCATTTTTATTCTAAAAAATAGTGTTCGGAAATTTTTGTTTGTTCGTCATTCCGCTGATATGGCGATTTCTTTGACGACTGCAATATATTTCTGAATTGTTTGAGTGAATTGCTCTTTATTTTTAAAATATCCAAAATTTAAGAAAAGCCGAACACAGTTTTGAAACTGACGTCTTTAGCTATGTCCTGTGAAAATTTGAGAAAAATTGGTTAATATAACCCGCAGGAGCACAACTCGTTTGAAAATCAGTAATTACCGTCAAATTTTTCGGGAGAAAATTGAATATTAGATTTTCAATGTTTTTCTTATTGCAGCGAAATGTATTTTATTAAAACTCGGCGAGTTTTCAACATTTTTCGTTCAAACTTGGTCAGATAGTAGAACTAGTCTAATGCTTTCATGGAAACCAATAAAAAAATTTTAGGCAAAATTAAGACTCAAGGTGTTCTGTAACCTTAATGAATTTTTTAAATATATGTAGCTCAGTTGGTAGAGCATCGTCTAGTAACTCGAAGGTCGCGGGTTCTAAACCCAGTCGCGGTAGGCAAAGTTTTCTGCTTGCGTACTGTCTGGAAATTATGATATATCTCCCAAAGGGCGTCAAATGAGCCAAAAAACAGTTATTGTCTAACTTCAAGACCCAGCCGCGGCAGACAATATCTTTCTGCTTGCGCTGGGTATGGAAATTATGAAATACACACTCGAGAACATTTTCTCTCTATATATATGTAGTGTATTCGCAACGTAACTCGCGCGAAAGACTGGGTCGACGAACTCTGGAGAAACCATAGCCCAAACTAGTAACGCTACATGTTTTAAACAACTTTATTTTCAACACATTCAGGCAAATTTCGACATTGAATTAAGTAAATTTAAGTGAAACTACACAGTCAGAACGCACAGTACTTCAAGTCAAGCAAGAATCAAACCAACAATCACCATCAAGGAAAGAGTAAATTTGGTCACCATGACACCAGTTGCACTATTGCCGCTGGTATTATAACATGAAATAGAACACGATGTCAACTTCAATGCTGCGATGAAACGGGTACACGCATTTGCACCGCAAAAATCGGGATTGCCACAGTTTCTTTTGACAGCTTCTGTGCCATTTAGGAAGGTAAAAGATGATGTGAAACAATATGAAGTACCGGCTGGGCATGTCACTGTGGCACTAGTACATTTTTGTTGTTCTTTTGGTTGTGTTGTCCAGTATGCACAAACATTGCATTTCTGAGCACTCCCTAAAACAAAAAAATACATACAGTAGATCATTAGTTGTAAATTGTCTTATACCAGCACTCAGCCAGACTGAAAATTTTTATTTTGCGCAGGAAATATGTTTTCCTTGGAAACGTTGGGCAGAAATGTCAGATATTTTCACAAAACACCAGGCAATCCTGCAGTCAGAACGTGCATTAGGCAATCAATTTTTTGTAGGCCACGTGAGTGTTTCCTTCAGATGAGGAAAGAGCCTGGGAACGAGGTTGCTGAAAACTAGGACT